AGCCTGCTGTTCCCCAACCCTTCCATCCCACAAAGTTCAGTGAGTTCTACAGGTCCCTTCCTTATAAGAGAATTAATAAATGATAATAATTGATAATAAGATATACAAATATGGACTGATACAAAAATAGGATCTTTTTCCAGGGCTCTAGCTGGAGGGGAGGATAAAAGAATACAAACAAATATGATCTGTTGTAAGCTTATCTTTCTATCTACCTAGAAGCAACTGGAAGATTTGATTTTGTTTTTAAAATACTCATAAATGGGGACCTTAGTTTGTGGTTTTGTGGATATCATGGAAACTGTGGGAGAGTCCGGAGGAGAGCCACACGCATGAGTAAAGGTCAGGAAAACAGACCTTACGACGACAGGCTGAGAGCTATGGGACTCTTCAGCCTGAAAAGCGCAGGCTCAGGGGTAATCTGATGGCCACCTATAAGTTTATCAGGGGTGCTTACCAGGATCTGGGGGAACGTTTGTTCACCAGAGCGCCCCAAGGGATGACAAGGTTGAACGGTCACAAATTTCTCCATGACTGTTTCAGGCTGGACATAAGGAAGAACTTCTTTACTGTCTGAGCCCCCAAGGTTTGGAATAGACTGCCGCCGGAGGTGGTTCAAGTACCCACTTTGAATGCCTTCAAGAGACATCTGGATGTTTATCTTGCTGGGATCCTATGATCCCTGCTGACTTCTAGCCCCTGGGGCAGGGGGCTGGTCTTGATGATCTTCCGAGGTCCCTTCCAGCCCTAGTGTCTATGACTCTATGAACAATAAAAATAAAATGCTGACTCCCCAGTGGAAGCCAGCAATCCTTGCTGCCAGGAGGGGAAGGCAGCAGCTGGTGGGGTGGCATGAAGGGCAGCTGGCAAAATGGCGGTGGCCCCCTTATCCCTCCTCCCCCTGCTGGAGTCTGTCTGCCGGTCGGTGCTGAGGGGTAGGGCTGCATGAAGGGCAGCCAGCAGTCCAGATGCTGGCCATCCCCCTCATCCCTCGCCCCTGGGCCTCTCCTCCAGTTAGCACAGAGGGGCAGGACCTCGCTGCCAATCAGTGCTGAGGGGCAGGGCCATTGTGAAATGACTACAGAATTAGAGCATTAGGCTGTGATCAACCTGCAAAGATTGATAAGTCCCCCCCATGATTTAGGTAGCTCCCTACTTATAAAGCAGTTTTGCTAGCCTTTCTTCAAGAATATACTATTCATACTGGTAGCAGTAGAAAGTGGGCTTTTCCACCTGTACATTTTTGGTCATGGTAACCATTAAATTATGACAGCACACTTGTTTGTTTCATTGACGTGTCTGTTACAAATTTACTTAAGAAAGTTTTGCCATCACTTTACACACACACACACATTTTTTCATCCATTTTCTCTGGAAAATAACTGAAAAATATGTGCTAAAAAACAATAGTCCAAGTTAGCTGCAGCCACTTTTTACCCCATTCCAGAGAAGGCAGCTATATAGAAACAATATGCTGGTACTGGATTTGCATTTTCTGCTAGGACCACAAAACAGCAATAATTTATAGAATCATTGAATAGTGAGTGCTAGATATTGCTGTTCCTAATTTCTAGACATTGCCAGTGTTAGCTATCAGAAAGATTTGTGATTGGGGACTAGGTATGACCAGGATTGATAAAGGGGTACAAAGCTTTTTCACTTTACCTGTATTTAACTAATTTTAATTTTAATCAGGCCCTTAGAGATCAAAATTTAACAGCATCTGAAGGAATATTTGGTAATCTCTGAGACAGTTCCAGTGCACAGCTGTTAAAATCGTAACCCCCCCCCCCCCCCCCCCAAAAAAAAAAAAAACCCAACCCAAACCTCACATATTACTACAATTGTCACGCATTATATTAAATTTTCACACACATTGTCACTGTAATTGCTGGCTATTTTAAAATGGACAGCAAAGTTATCATGAGTTATAGTCATTGCACTATTATCTCACCCCCAGAGGTGGTTATTTTTATTTAGAGCCACAGAATCTAGCTGTTGGGGCATCAGCCTGGGAGTGAGGTGCAAGATTTTTCTCTTGTTTTTGGGTAGATCACAACTCAGTCTCTTTTCCCTATCTGTAAAATGGGGATATGTATTAGCAGCTGAGATTTATTAGCAGGATAGGCTGAGGGAATTAACCCTGATTTATGTTTTTCATCAATTAAATAGAAGACCTCAGCATCCCAAGCTATCAATCAGGCACCTTTCACCAGCAGTCCATTTTCTAAATTTCTTTACATAATCCTTTATGTTATAGGCAAAAAATGATATTACATCTTTCTGATGTCATTTTTTTAATGCTAGGTCTAGAACATTATCTTTTGATGTGCTGCTTAGTTCAGTGTGGGTTAACACATGGACAGTATCAAAGACTGAAAAGACTTTTTGCTTTAGCATAATGAGCAAATAGCTGGGGGAGTTTTTCATTCTAGATCTGGAATACAGAAGCCTAATAAAATAATAAACAAAATAGTGAACCGAGGTAGAAACTGGGAAACAGTTACGGTGATGTTGCCCCTAAATATTAAACTAACAAAATAACATTATGTAATGCAATAAAATGAAATTGGTCATACATGGATCCAAAGAGGGTGGAGTTAAACTATTCTCAGTGGTGGCAGATGAGAGAACAAGGAATAATGGTCTCAAGTGCATCAAGGGAAATTTGGGTTAGATATTTTGAAAAACTTTCTCAGAAGGAGGTAGTAAAGCACTGGAACAGGTTACCTAGAGAGCTGCTGGAACCTCCATCCTCAGAGGGTTTAAGACCCAGCTAGACAAAGCCCTGGCTGGAATGATGCAGTTGGGGATGGGCCTGCTTTGAACAAGGAGTTGGACTAGATGTGACCTCCTGAGGTCCCTTCCAACCTTAATGTTCTATGATTCTGTTCCTTAGATCATAGACTCATTAGATTGGTAACAGATTTTGTTTGTAAAGTACCTAGCATAATGGGGATTTGAGTCTGATGGGTGCCTCCAAATACTACCACTCTGCATTGGTAACTATAATAATAAGTTATTATACATGTTGATTAATTTTATACCATGAGCTACTTCAATTCTAGGATGAGCCACTTTATTTCTAGGATGACTATCAACAGACTGATTTTTATCTAAATCTGCATCTTATGTCCATGGATTTCAAAGTTAAAAATATTTAGCAGATGCTTACATTTTTTAAATCAGATTTCAGTATCTGAATGGACTCAATGAAAGAATCATATGGATTTGTTTTTGTCATTTCTGATATCCACCAGTGTATAGGCTATAGCTGAACTTTTCAATTACAGGTATTCGTTTACTCCTTGATAGTAGAGTGGGTGTCAACATAACATAAAAAGGTAACTATAGCATGTTGATAATAACTTTCTCTAAAACTTATTTACAGGAGTTTTGGTTTAATTTGTTTTTATTAGGAAAAGGAAAAGAAGTATATGCTCCCTTTGGACAACCTGAAAGTGCGGGATGTTGAAAAGAGTTTCATGTCAAGCAAACATATCTTTGCCTTGTTTAACACGGAGCAAAGGTAAGAAAAATATGCTTACTGCTTTGCATGTCGATCTGACAAAATGATCAAGTCAAGAAAAAAGGCCATAATTCTGGTATTCCCATTAAATGAGAGAAAGTTCATCCATTTAAATGGTCTTGGGTCATCTGTTTTTATGCTATTGCTTTAATCCTGACTAATTTCACCATGGCTTAGCAGTCTTCTTGGTATAAATCATCAGTCCCTTCTTTATCCTATTTTTGTGCTACCTGACCTCCAAGATTTGCTAGAACATTACTGGGCCTGACACTGGTGAAAATTAGTATAGTTCCTGTGACTTAATTGGAACTATGCAGACTTAGACCAGCTGAGGATCTTGCCATCAGTTCTTCAGCCCCATCATGTCCCTAAGTGCCCCTACTAACTGCGGATTTTTTTCTCAAATACAATTGGATAAAGAATAAATTAAACACCCCTGCATTTCTAATGTATTATCGTCTTTATTCAGTAAAACTCACCCAACATTTTCCAGTTACTCTGCATCTTCTGACGGAGGAGTTGTGAAGGGATTGTGCTCCTTCTTCCCTCTACCTCCACAAGATGCAGGTGATTTTGATACCATGTACAAACAGAATAGAATGGATCCTACATCACTTCTAGAATGTGGTCCATCTTCTTGTTCTAAAAGGAGGAGTTTTCAGTTGGCTCAGTGGAGCTGCATGTCAGCAGATAAGATGAATTTTCCATGAATTCTATTTTTAGGAAATTCCAAGTACCTGCAGCAACAATATTCTTGTTTTTAAAATACTTATCTTTTATCTCCTCCTATTATTATCCCACCCTCCAAAGCTCTGCAACATGCTCACTTGCTGTTAGGATGAGGAGCCCAAATGTGACTCCATGTAGAGCCATTTATTTTTCCTTTGAACTTGCTATGAGTAGTTATTGCAGAGCAAAGTGAAGCACTCTCCCTGCAATGGCTATCCATGCCATCTCTGAACCACTCCCAGTGGCTCCTGGATCTAGAAACCAGAAACTAAGCTTGAAACTGATGCTGAAATCTCCCCCCAAGAAAGTCTTATGTTACAGCTGCTAAACTATTAGTCGGGCACATGCTCTCATTCTGTTCTAAATAATGAGCTTTGAAAATGTCTCACAAATGTATATTAGGAATGGGGGCAAAAAGCTATTTACTGGTCACATTTCTAGATCATGAAGAAAGCTTTTAAAACTTTTTTCCCCCTTTACTGAGTTGTAACTAATGATCTGTGGACGTTAAAATGTAAAACATTTACTTTTCTTGGTACACATAGATCATGCTAAGATTGCACAGAGATCACTCATTGAAGATAACTGTCATGTTGTATTCTTGCTACCTTTATTGATACTGGATAAAGTAGGGTGTGTGTTTGGTGGGGGGTACAGGACGTACACATGTATGTTGGGCATTAAGCTCTTCTCTAGAAGAGCTATACATTCTGCAAGGTTGTTTTCTCTCTTTTTTGTTAATGGCTATAAATATCTTTTTAAACATAAACTCATGTGAAATGTCTGAAACAAAATCATTTTCATGTTTATACATGTTTTTTAATAGATCAGTTGTTTTTCATATGCATGCATTTTCACTGCATCTTCACATAGGCTGTGAAAACAAACTTGGAGATATAAAATGTTTGCCATATCTGTGAGAAATACTATTCTTTTGATTGTGACTAGGCCCTGAAGCATCTGTAAGCTGCTTTACAAATATCCTGAAATACATATGGGCATGTCAAGACATGATAGGGCAGCAATAAGATGCCAAGATAACTTTGACTTAAGATAAACAGTTTATAAACAGAAACTCACAACAGAAAAAGTGGGACATTTTTGTTCCTGGGGAAACTTATATTAAATTCTAATTACAGTGGCAACTTCATTGCTACTGTGAGGCAGCTGATTTTTCTCCTTGATCTTCCAAAACATCCCCCTTTTGGCTCAAATCAAATGTGTTTTAATATCCAATACCTCCTAAATCTGGGAATCCTGCCTGCAGTAACATTGCAAGGCTGTTGAGGTTTGATCTAAATGTTCTAGTTGGAGGGGTTTTCAACTGGAGGGTCATGAGCAGAGGCTAGGATTGTGACCACCTTGCCATCCACATTAAGGGGGATATGGAGGGGAGGTCTCTGTCTGGAAAAGATTAAGATCCACTGAGGCAGAGGAGCTCATTTTTATTTTACACCTCCTTGAAACTGAAAAATTGATTTGTGGTTTCTGTTTTGAGGAGGTGGGGATTGTAGTTAAGTGTCAGTCTACACTGTTTGGTTTTTTTACTATATAAAATTAACTTGGGTTCTTTTCCCCATTGAAAAACTAATAATTGAGCAAGAATTTCTGTTTTTGCTTGTCAAGGATCTTGTAGTGTTGAAGGGTTCCAGTATTTAAATGCAGGTTATTAAAGAGCAATGGCACAGCCATCTGCTTTAACCTCCTGCAGTACTACTGTGGTTCTTCTATACCCCACTGGCCTTTCTTAATCTAAAGTAATATAACTTTTTTGTGTATTGGCTATGCAAATGTTCTTAATATGTAAAAATATTCTTATTAAAGAAAAGTCTCCTTTCAATCAGATTTTTTTTGATGAGCTGTCTCTCTTTCTCTGTCTGTAATTCCCAACCCCTCACTGCATAGGTATTTGCCATGGCCATATGTTTCTGATACTGTACATTTCAATAGTTTCCTGGATTATGCATACTGCATTTTTTCCATTTATGAAAACCTCTCCAGTTGTGAAATACCATTACTAGGGGAAATCCTAGTTTCACTGAAGAGAAGGAAGGGCCGGCTTGAATTAGGAGGCTGTGGATAGAAGCATAAGGAAACTAACAATGTCTGTCACTTTGATTTACTGCAGAAGTCAGCGGCTCTCTGACAGAAATCAAATGTGACTTGGTAATCTGTACTGACCGAAGACTGCAACAATTGATTTCACAGTACAGATAAATTCTCATGAAATGAAACATAATTGCAAGTATATGAAAAGCCTCTGTTGTGAAATAATGAATTCAAATTCCTATCTTATTGGTTTCTAAATTAAAATAAAAAAAACCCCCTTGAATAGGAGTGATATCCTGCTTACAGGGGTAGTATTGCCTAAACAAGGGGGAGAGAAAAAAAACCCCCAAACAACCCAAAAAACTAGTTATGCCTTTTAGTGGACCAAATGAATATTAAAAGCTTTAGAATGATTCCACAAATTGAAATCATACACATCACTAAATAGTATATGCTCCTAAATATTGCTTCACATAGACTAGGTAGAAGCCTTTTAGAGTTAAAGCAAATGGTATGATGGAAACTGCCTTTTGACTCACTCGCCACTTCTCACAGTGATTAATTGGCATTCATTCTTAAGCAGAGCTCATAATGCCAAGGAGAGGAGGATTTTGTCAAAGCGTATGTTCACGTACAGTAGGTTCACATCCAATGGCCGCATTGATGAATGAGCCCAAGACTCCTGTGCAAAGTTCAAAAACAAACAAAAAAAATTCTGTCCTTCCCAGAAAGTTTACTTTTCTTCTAGGATTTCAGTCCAAACACTTTGCCCGCTCCCCACCTATTTCCCGTAAAAACTATTTGCTGATTGGCATTTTTTTTCTTTCAGGCAAGTACTGTAACTTTGGGGTAAGTTCTGTAGCCTCAAAGGTACTTCTTTTTAGGAACTGTACAGCAGTCCCAGTTGTCTTTGGTTAATAAGAGGAAGCAATCATAATCTCTGATGATCTTGGTAATGACTATGGAATTCCAGATAGCACTATTTAATTCAATTTTTTCTGTGCCACCTTAATATAACCCTTTTGGCCCTGTGGCAGAGTGTCAGGTCTTTCTTGTTGATTCATCATATTAACAGGCATTATTAGCTTGCATGAAAAGTGGCTGAAATTTCTCTTGACTTGTGACAAGAGCAGTTTATTAAAATTTCTCCTAGGATAGCACTTCTCCTTTGATTAGTAAGTGTAGGGAGTGCATCTGCTCTTCTTCTGCTGTATGCAGAGAAGGGATGTTCCTCTTCCATTTTTCCTAATCTAGGGAAGGTAACTCCTCCTCTTTTCACCTCTCCATTGTCTGATGGAGAAAGGACACTAGCTTGGAGATTTTTAAGCTATGGAACAACAGAAGGAGGCTGGGATCTTTTGAGGCCGGGATCTTTTGATTTAATTAAGGGAGAAGCATCAGCCTTTGACTGGGAGTTGAATTATCCAGAGGTGGGGTGGGGTTCGTTATTACCTACTTCCCTTTTGCACACAGGAAGCTCTGTTTCCCTGTTGGTTGCCCCTCTGTTCCCAAAGGGGGAAGCAAAGAGACAGGCAGTTGCATGCAGTTCTCCATGCACTCCAGGGGCAGAGGGAAACTTGTGTTATCGACCTTGGCCAGAGCGCAGAGCAGTGACTGTCATTTTCTTCTTCCCCCTTGTGTGGGTAGGTGGAGGGTGGAGTTTGTAGAATAAAAGAAGTTCCCCTCCATGGTTACATGCCTGTGATACCGAGAATGAGGAATTCATGAAACTTGAATGTGTGTAGTGAAGATTTAAATATGACAGCATCTTTTATTCCGTAGTGGAAGCTGCATATTCAGACACAGGATTGTGGGGAGGGATGGCTATGACCACAGCAAAATCTTTCATCTGAGAGACAAACTGCAAGGCAGATTGAGGGACCATCATACATAGGCTGCAAACAAATGTAGTCCTTGTGCCTCCATAAACATTTTTATGGCAGCACAAAACCTGAGTGAACAGACGTCGATGTCCCTTGTCTCGCCATAATTGCCCAAAATTGCGAGCACAACCATTTCTAGTAATATTTTCTGTTGCCTTTTCACAGTGGACAGCTGTTTGTTTATGGTGCAAGAGCTTCCCTGGAGCTTCAGGGGTCTGGTCTTGTGGGACAATGGCCCTGGGTGCCTGGCCTCCACAAAGGACATGCATCTACAGGCACAGAGTGGGAATGCCCATGGGCTTTCCTGCTGTGTGCCTGCAGATGTATGTCCTACGTGGA